GGGGGAGAGGGGAGAGAGAGAGGGAGAGGGAGGAAGAAAGGAAGGAAGGAAGGATTAGGAAGGAAGGGAGGGAGGGAGGGAAGGATGGAAGGAAGGACAGACGGATGGAAGGAAGGAAGGAAGGAAGACAGAAAAGAAAAGAAAAGAAAAGAAAAGGAAAGGAAAGAAAAATTCCTATGCTTCAATGTTTGTTGGTATAATTCAAACTATTTAATCTTAAAATGTTTATCCTATACTACCTCAGTTTTCCCAAGGAGTCTCTAATAAAGGCTGTGGCCTAAGAGTTCCCCTTGCTTTCTGATCCTTAGTAACTTTGATGCTTCATCTTGTGGCCCTGTGTGATATGTTATGTCTCTTGTTTCTAATGGAAATGTAACTTTAAAACTTTTCTTGTGGTGGCCCTGAACTCTCCACATAGCCAGTCACTTTTACAAATTAAGACCTGAACAAACACCCATATATTTGCTGCATACTATTCTAAACCATTAATTAACAGAAGTCAAATCAGGAGGGTATGCTTTTTATAGCTTAAAAGAGGCTTGGTTCCGCATCTTTTATACATTTAGATTTGCCAACTGGTTACATATAAAGAAATACATAATTATTCTACAATTTCAACTTGTAACTGCGATTAAGCACTTCTGACTTATCATTCAGGAGAGTTTAATAGAAGACACAGATTGAAAATGGGCTGTGAAAGATTCCACAACTTTGCAGGCATGGGCTCCTAGTTGCCACATACACTGTATTTACAATTTTACACTGTGTATTAGTCACGCTGCATACATCATACTTAACATTTTACTTTGGAATATAGATAGTTTCTAACAAAGCAAACACCTTCTAAAAGAGCTAATGCTTGCTTTTAAATATGAAATAAGACAGTATTATTCTTAACCTTTCAGACATCTCACTATTCATTCTTATGTTACAAACACCAATGTCCAAATTAGAAAAAAAATGACGTTAGTCCTAATTTCTCTGCCACTTCATTTACTTTTCTGCTTCATGTAGAACATGCAACTTTTTTCCTCCTAAGGTTCTGGAAACACAACATCTTTCTGGTTTGGGTAACCTCACAGTTTTCAAGACTCTTTAAAACCTTCCCAGGAAAGTGAAGAATCTCATTCTCAGGAATAAAGTATCTAAAGATTTCATTTTGAAAAACTGTTGTAACCTTAGCTGCTACTTACCAGTTTCAAACAAATTTTACTGATTTCCAAATCATTAGATGGCTCATTTTTCTTATTCAGAAAAATTCTTATTCGGATAATTCTCAGATACTACCTGAAGAACTAAATCATCAATGCAGAATCCATCTGAATTTCAATAATTTACACTAGGTCACCATTTCTCATTTCTTCCCTCTACATCCAAATACTAAAATAAAGTCTGTTAGGATTATTCACTATACATCTAAGGATATAGAATGTTTTCCTAGTTGAATGTATTTCAGAAACAGAAACATCCAAAATTCTATGAGAACATACATAGACACACAATACAGGTTTATTAGCAAGAAGAGAAGTTACAAGTCTGTATTGTTTATATTTTTAATTTTCAAACATTATATTGTTCGACATGTTGAAAATCCTACTGACTGGGGAGAGACTGCTCCTCTGAGGCTATCCAATTATCTGTGATAGCAAAGTACCCAGCAAAGAGCATGCCTTTGATATGCAAAACAAAAGGGCCATACCTCCCATTAGTCTTCTTCATTCCTTGCCTTAATCATCCCAGGGCCAGATGCCAGGCAAATGAGAAACACTCTTTGTTTTTTAGAGCCCATGAAAACTGTTCAGACTAGCCAATCCTAAACAATTACCCTACCTTGCCTTGCCCTTACTGGAAAACCCAAATAAGGCCATGACCTAGGATCTTCCCTGCTCCTGACACTTCTACAACCTCACCCATGCTTCTGTGTGACAAGCTGAGCTTTCTGAGTATAGCTCTATTTTCCTGAGCTTCTCTTGTGGCTGACTCTCCATGTGATAAAAGAACACAGAACAAAAACTCATAATTAAAAAACAAAACAACTGAAAGCTTTCTAAAAACTATCCCAAGATTTAAAAAACTCACCCCTATATTTTATATTCTTAAATATTAAAGATAGATGTTTGCTTTCAAAATATGTAAAAGCAAAAGTAGGTAAACACAAACACTGCAAATGATACCTATAAAACAAAATAGGGGCGCCTGGGTGGCGCAGTCGGTTAGGCGTCCGACTTCAACCAGGTCACGATCTCGCGGTCCGTGAGTTCGAGCCCCGCGTCGGGCTCTGGGCTGATGGCTCAGAGCCTGGAGCCTGTTTCCGATTCTGTGTCTCCCTCTCTCTCTGCCCCTCCCCCGTTCATGCTCTGTCTCTCTCTGTCCCAAAAATAAATAAACGTTGAAAAAAAAAAAAAATTAAAAAAAAAAACAAAATAACTCATTCATTTTCAATTAATTCAATTTGAACCAGCTATAGTGTCCTATAGAAACGGACTGAACAAGTCCTAGACAAATTCTGGAAGTTTACAGGAAAAAAAAAAAAAAGAGGCACTCACATCAGGCTGTAGTCTTTTTGCCCGCCGACTACAGCTACTGAACTTGGAAGGCTGCACAGACGGTCTTAGGGGAATGCCATGAGGTTTGTATTCCTTGTCTTTTTCTTCATTGTCAAATGGGTGAGTGTTACACTGCTGGGAACATAAGAAAACAAATGAGAAACTGAGTCACATTTAAAATTAACAAATAATCAAGTGATTCCTTCATCTTTAATCTCTAACAATGAAAGCTGTATTTCTTTCCAAATGACACTTTTATTCTCTGCAATAATAGAACAATATGATGAGAATTCTTCTACAACTTTGCTTATATATAACCAGTAAAACATAGTGAGGAACAGTCTTTGGAACTAGACTGCCAGATGTGAACTTAGGATTTTATCCTTACTTTCTATGCCTGAGCTCTCTGTTCCAATTTCTTTGTCTGAAAAATGGGCAATATAAGTATCAAACCTAACAATTATAAAGTAAAATATCCATTTATGGCTATTCACATAATTTTATAAAATGCTCTGGAAATAATAAAACCTAAAAACATCATTTAAGATAAATGGTCAAATTAGTTCCCACTCCTTTTTGAATTAAGTCCAATTACCAAAAATTTATCCTGTAATTCTCTGTATCTAAACTATCCTCAGGAAATATAGTAATTTCTTAAGAAATTATATTGTTCAAGGAGGAAGGCCTAAAATAGGAACTGGTTTTCTCTAACTTATATTCTATGATCTTATCCATAAAAAGATCCTAGTAAACACCAACACTTCAGAGAGAAAGATAGAAAAAAAAGATATTCTAATTCTCATTTAGCTAGCCTACTAGGTACAACTGCTTAAAAATATACTGTATACTTTTTTATAGGCTGAGAATTATTTTCAGACCCAATTGCTAGAATTTCTAATGCTAGAAATGTACTTAGGATACTAAGAAAGCTCAACCCAGAAAAAGAAAGACCACAAAGAACAAAATCAAATCAGGCCCCAAACCAGTTAAGACACCTCACCACAAGGTTGGCCCCAGACTGAAACATTTCATAGGGGTAAATGATGCGCTCATAGTGAGATCGTAGCAGCGAACCAATGTTTTTGCCTGGTGGGTAGTTGAGGCGCTGGGCAATTCGGACCCAACGACGGTCCTTGCAGATGGCTTCATAGCCACCTTCCTCCATCACAATCTGCAAGGATAATGAAAGTTATATAGATTAACTGTGAGCAGACTAAGAGACCTGAAAAACAGCAGTTAGGGTTAAATATGAGGACAGTGCACTCCCGCCAATGCCAACTGTTCCAGGACTCAAAGATGGTGTCAAAAAATCTTGGCAGGATCTCTGTTCTCTCCTTTCTTGCCTAGAAACACAAAGTTCAACCACAGAGGGTTTCCTAAAAGGCCAAGGCTTTTTATTTATTTTTCCTTTTTAAAGCAGAAGTACTCTTACCTTACTAAGGCTGTAGAGATCCAAAATCCTCCGTTCTACATTGGGAATTTTTAATGAAGAACCTTGGATTTCCCAGAATTTTGCAATCTGGTCCAAATAGTTTAATTTTACTCTGGTCTGAGCCTGGGGAAGAGACAGTCCCATGAAATTGGCTTACTCTTTCAACTTTAGTCCATTAATTATGGTGCTCTCCTAGGCTACAGTCTAGATTTCATTGTCTATCTCACCACCAGTGTCTATCAAAAGCTCAAATAAGCAGATTCCTCAGTCTTAAAAGGGAGCTTTAAGAGCAATGACTCAAAGTCAGAATCTTTCATCTCTAAATCTAAAGCGCTATTCTTGCACTTAACAAATGATAAGCAAGGCTTGATCTAATATCTTCCTTTAAGACAGCACTTGTACTCTATACACAACTAAAAGAAATATTTTTCTCTTCTACATAGAGAAGCTGACAATGTATGACCATGCTCTGAACTTTGCTTCTATGAAAGAAATCAGCAAAAATAAAAAATGATAAATTATGTAGGTATGGAGAGGGAAAAAAAATCCATAAATAAATAAATAAATCAAGCAAGCAAGCAAGCAAGCAAGCCTTCATGTCCTCTCCTTTTGCAGAGGACTTTCTCCAAAATCATTATTCTGGGAAAAAAATGGAACTGGTATTAGGATCAAAATATATCTGCTTTAAAACTTATATGCTTAACTACATCGTTATAAAACTACCAGTGAAATAAGATCAGAGCTCAAATTCCAGCATAAAAGGGTGGCTTCCGATTTTACCTCTAGTTCATTTAGCCTCTGAATTCGGGGCGTGAATCTGAAGTTTTCAACTTCTACTGCAAAGGGAGGCTGCCAGTCCTAGAAGAAAGTAAATGAATTTATTATGGTATAGCAAAGGATGAAGATGTTGAGAAGTAGAATGATTTGTCTCCAGTTTAATAGTCCTTCCTTTTAAGACTTTTTGTTGCTATATTTTGCTCTTGAAGGTTCAAATGGTTGTCTTTTAAAAATCATACAACTGAAAACCAAGGGCAACCCCCCAAAAAACAAACAAAACACAAAGAATTATCCTTGGTGTGTCTCCTCCAAAAAAGAGGAAGATTCTTAATGAAGTGAAGAAAAATCTAATACGGATGAGAAACTGATTTTGAAAACTAGAGTATTATTTATTCCCACCCACAGCCTGTTAAGAATAGTAGTATGTAACTAGTAATACTTTTTTAAAAAGTATACCCACCCAAATAGAAGATATGTAGTCAGATTGAGTATCGCATAAATGAGCAATACACTGCAGTTAGAGGACACCCCTTTGATACGCATATAAATTAAACCCATACCCGACAAGCAATTTAGTTTGCATTCTTAATTCAAACATAAGAACTGAGTTAGCAGTTTTGAGTAAAGCAAACCCAGAGAAGAGACCTGTACACGAAGTAATTCCAATTTAATTGGTGGTAAGGATTCTATTCTCTGTATTTCTTATACCACGGGTCATGTAACAAATTTAAGCCATTCCAAGCCCAGCGCCTAATAAGACAATTTATACGTTCCTTTGTTTCGCTATCAAGTATGATACATTAAAACTTCCTTCAACGTAAGTTTAAGAGATAAATATTCCTCTACTACACACGCCTAAGTAGTCGTACAGGGTAGAACCAATTTCGAATCAAAGCTTTTCATTCCTAAAACAGATTTTTAGAACTGCACTGCGTGTGGCGATTAGATACGAACTTTTTGATGCCAACCCATTATAGTCAGTTACAAAATGATCAATTACACTTAGTTACAGAATTTAATTAACAGCAGTTAACAAAAGGGTTAAGGCCTTGTTTACCAGCACAGCACCCTAACGCTCAGTCTTAACGCAAATCCATCCCCAAATTAGGCTTCAGAGGCTTACCGCGGGTGGGCGGATCTTGCAAATACCCGACTTTTCTGCAATGGGCCTGATTTTTGCGATGTAGCCTAGCGGGTCTCGGAATTCCGCCCAGGTAGGCTCGAACACCGGGCACTCTGGCGGCGGTAGGAAGTCGTCTGGTCCCGTCTCCATGTCGCGCTCCGATGCTATTCTGTAAAAGGATTTCCTCCTTCTTCAGTGGCGTATAGTTTGTTGATAGCTAAAACCTAAGTCCCAGCAGGCCTTTATTTTCCTTCAAATTCAACAGTTTAATTCATGCAGTTGCTCACACCACTCAGTTTTCAACCACCATCTTGACCAGCAAGCTTCCCGGCGGCTTCACACTCCGTCTCACTCCGCGGATCAATTCTTCAGGTGCTGAGCTATCTCAAAAACTGAAAGATGTGCTATATGGGCAGGTAAGATCTGAAGGCACAGAAGGGAGTTCACCACAAGAAAACAAGCACCACAAACCAGGCACTCGACTAATCCTAAATAGTTCTTCAACGGAACGGAAGAGCACAATTACAAATAGAGGTGCCGGATCTTTTTATTTAAGGGACCGCTGCGCGTGTCAAGCCTGCGCAGTAGACCGGAATGGCTTAAAGATCAGTGTATCTGAAGTGGGCGTTGTCATGTTGTGTGGTGATGTGTTCTGTTGTATTCTGTTGTGCTGTTTTATCAGGTCACACGTTTACAGAACCCGCAAGCCCAACTGCCCTCCTTTCGTTTACCATTTTAAGTCGCGTCTAAATGAGCAAAGTCTAAGAACTTACTGGCTGTTCCTTTACCCACCTGGCTTTATAATAAAGGTACTTAGCATAGCAATTTTGGAATACTAGAACCATTAGTAGAATACAAATTGTTTGTATTTATGTACTCTGTTTCACTTAACAATGGACTTGCCATGCACACATTTCCCTCTTACTGCATTTGTACAAACTTGATATTGCATTTCTTCATACCTATATAAAGGGGGGGGGAGCTAAAATCTTTCATAAAAATTATTGCCAAATAGAGGGTGCGTGGTGGCTCAGTGGGTTAAACACCTCTTTATTTCACCTCAGATCATGATGTCACGGTTCGTGAGTTTGATTTTATGTTAATAAAATTCACATTTCGGAATGTGTTTGAGGAATTGCAAAATAAAGAAGTACCCATTTGTTCCTTTAAAAATTCCACTCAAGGGTTAATTGTTATTTTGACGGTGTAAGAGAATTCTTTGCTTTTAGGTTTGTTGATCTGATTTGTATACTGTTTCATTTAACAATATTCTTGACATTTTTTCCCCCAGAAGTTTATCTACTTGGTCTGGGTTATCAGCATCATTAATTTATTATGCTACATTAAGTATATCATTTCTGCTCAAATGTTTATGTTTGGATTAAAAAAAAATTTTTTTTTAATGTTTATTTATTTTTGGGAGACAGAGAGACAGAGTGAGGGAGGGGCAGAGAGAGAGGGAGACACAGAATCTGAAGCAGGCTCCAGGCTCTGATCCATCAGCACAGAGCTGGACATTGGGCTCAAACCCATGATGTGCAAGATCATGTCCTGGTCTGACATCAGACACTCAACCCACTGAGCCACCCAGGTGCCCCTATCTTTAGATTTTTTGTTTTCATTGTGTAGCAGTTTTATCTGCATGTTTCTTTATATTTCATAAAACCAGATTTACTGTAGGTTGACGTTTTGATATTAATCTTTCAGATAATTACATCTACTTCTCCCGATGATTCTAGAATTGCTTTTTCTAAAACAGCTTTATTGAAATATAATTCACACAGCATAATATTCTTCATTTTAAAGTATACAAATTCAATGGTTTTTAGTGTATTTACAGAGCTGTGCAATTCAGGCTTCTGCCAAATTTCACATTTCATCACCTCAGCAAGAAGCCCCATACTCATTAATAGTCACTTCCCAAGTCTCCACAACCACTAATCAACTTTCTGTTTTCATAGATATGAATAAGTCCTAAAAATGGAATCATGCAGTATATGTCTGTCATCTTTTTTTGTGTCTGGTTTCTTTCCTTTACCAAAATGCTTTAAGGTTTACCCATGTTGTAAACAGTTATCAGAATACCACAAGCTTACCATTTTAACTAGTTGTAAGTGTACATTTCATAACTAATGGCAGAATACTATTCCATATCAATATGACACATTTTGTTTATTCTTCAATTGAGTTGTTTCTACTTTTCAATTAGTATCGGTAATGTTACTGTGAACATTTGTGTGTAGGGTTTTGGTATGTGTATGTTTTATTTCTCTTGAATATACACAAGCAAACAGAATCCTGGACTGTTTGATAACTCTATGTTTAAACTCTTTAGGAACTGCCAGACTAGTCTTCAAATTACCTCTATCATCTTGTTTCCCACTAAGTGTGTAAGGCTTTCTGATTTCCACCTCCTTACAACACTATTGTTGTCTTATTGATATGGCCATCCTACTGTATATGAAGTAGTATCTCACTTTGCTTTGGTTGGCATTTTTTGAATTGCTGAAGACTATGATCTTTTCATGTGTTTGTTGACCATAAAATTTGAATTGTATACTTTTTCTACTATTTCCTATTCCTTTTTTAAAAACTCTTTAATTCCAGTGTAGTTTACATACAGTGTTACATTAGTTTCACTTGTACAATATAATGATTAAACAATTCCATACATCCATCACCTGGTGTTCATCACATGTGCACTCTTTTAAAAAATTTTTTTATCGTTTATTTATTTCTGAGAGACAGAGAGAGACAAAGTGTGAGCAAGGGAGGGGCAGAGAGAGGGGGAGACACAGAATCTGAAGCAGGCTCCAGGCTCTGAGCTATCAGCACAGAGCCTGATGCAGGGCTCGAACTCACAAGCCATGAGATCATGACCTGAGCCTAAGTTTCAACTGACTGAGCCATCCAGGTGCCCGCAGCAAGTGCACTTTTAATACCTACCATCCAGTTCACCCACCTTCCCTCCCACCTCCTTCTGGTTCACTATAATTAAGACTCTTTTTCTGAATTTGTCTCTCTTTTTTTCCCTTTTCTCTTTTGTTTTGTTTCTATGAATGCAGTCACATAGTATGTGTCTTTCCCTGACTATTTTACTTAGCATTATACACTCTAGCTCCATCCACATCACTGCAAATGACAAGCTTTTATTTTTTTTTATGGATGAATAATATTTCATTGTGTATATATGGCGCATCTTTGGGCTCTCTCCATAGTTTGGCTATTTTTGATAGTGCTGGTATAAACTTTGGGGTGCATGTATTCCTTCACATTTGTAGTTTTGTATTCTTTGGGTAAATACCCAGTAGTGTGATTGCTGAATCATAGGATAGTTCTATCTTTAAATTTTTGAGGAAACTCCATTCTGTTTTTCAGAGTAGCTGCACCAGTTTGCATTCCCACCAGCAGTGCAAAAGTGTTCTCTCCACTCTTTCTCTGCATCCTCATTAACTCCCTGTTGTTTCCCGAGTTGTTAATTTTAGTCATTCTGATAGGTGTGAGGTGATATCTCATTGTAATTTTGATTTGCATTTTCCTGGTGATGAGTGATGTTGAGCATCTTTTGATGTGTCTACTAGCCATCTGGATGTCTTTTTTGGAAAAATGTCTGCTCATGTCTTCCAATCATTTTAAATTAGATTATTGGTTATTGGCTCTTGAGTTTGATGAGTTCTTTATATATTTTGGGTACTAAATCTTTATGAGATATGTCATTTGCAAATATCTTCTATTCTGTAGGTTGCTGTTTAGTTTTGTTGATTGTTTCCTTCACTGTGCCAAAGCCTTTTATCTTGATAAGGTCCCAATAGTTCATTTTTGCTTTTGTTTCCCATGTGTCAGGAGTTGCTGGCTGCAACAGTTGATGTCAGAGAACTTAATGCCTGTGATCTCTTCCAAGATTGTGTGTGTGTCTGTTTGTCTCACTTTTAGGTCTTTAATCCATGTTGAATTTCATTTTGTATATGGTGTAAGACTGTGGGCCAGTTATTGTTTCCTATTTCTTAAAGTCTACTATTTTTTTGTGTGTAATATACCTCTCCTATGATCAACCTACAAACACAAGTAAGTTATTTTTAGGCAGTGATTTTTGTTAAAATCAAAATTAAGATAGTATTTAAAAATATTATAGGACTTACAATCTTCTAAGCAAAAACACAAAAAAGTAATGCTGCTACTGTAGCTATACATGACAAATTTCTATTTTTCCCACTTCCATCTGGAGCTGTAAACAAATTCAGCAAAGTTGCAGGATATAAAATCAATGCACCAATGCTAGTTGTGCTTTTGTAAAATTGGAATAGACAATGAAAATATAAATTTAAGAAAGTAATTTTATTATACACTAATAATGATGTAGCAGATAGAGAAATTAAGAAAACAATCCTATTTTCAATTTCATCAAAAAGAATAAAATACCTTGGAATAAAGTTAACCAAAGAGGTGAAAGACCTATACTTTGAAAACTGTAAAACATTGATGAAAGAAATTGAAGATGACACAAGGAAATGGAAAGATGTCCCATGTTCATGGATTGGGAGAATAAATGTTGTTAAAATGTTGACACTATCCAAAGCAATCTATAGATTTAATGCAATGCATATCAAAATACCACGTACCTACAAACTTGCATGGAACCAAAAATGATCCTGAATTGTCAGAGTAATCTTGAGGAAGATAAACAAAGCTGTAGCATCACTCTCACAGATATCATGACATATTGCAAGGTAGTAATCAAAACAGTATGATAATGGCACAAAAATAGACAAATATCAATGGAAAAGAATACAGATCCTAGAAATAAACCCACAATTATATGGCCAATTAGTCCATAACAAAAGAGGCAAGAATGGGAAAAAAGTCTCTTCAAGAAAAAGATTTTTTGGGAAAACTAGACTACTACATGCAAAAGAATGAAATAGGACCATATTTTTGTAGTATATACAAAAATTAACTCATAATGGGTTAGAGAGCTAAATGCAAGACTTGTAACCATAAAACCCTTAGAAGAAACCATATAGTAGCACTATATGACCCAACAATTCTAGTTATCAGTAACTATATAAAAAAATTGAAAATATTCAAAAAAAGTTCCATATGAATTCATAATAGCTAAAAGATAGAAACAGGACAGTTTTCCTTGAACATTTAATGGAATGTTCAGCTATAAAAGAAATGAAGTACTGAACCATGATACAACTCTAATAACCCTTAAAAACATTAAATGAAAGAAGTCAGATATAAAATGTCACATATTCCTTATATGTGAAGCTTCCAGTATATGTAAATTTACTGAAAAGGAAAGCAGATAAATGTTTGCACAGAGTGAGAAGTAGGAAATAGGAACATTGCTTAATGGATTCTGGGTCTGTTTTGAGAGTATTAAAGTGTTTTGGAAATAAATGTATACAACATTGTGAATGTACAAAATGCCACTGGTTTGTACACTTTAAAATAGTTGGTTTCAGTGTATAATTTAAGAAAAAAAATGAAGAGGGGAGAAAAAAGAATAAAAAGAAATTG